ACCTTTCGATCCTGAGCTGCATACCTCTAATTAGCACCCACCACCAGTTCGACATATGTGCACTACCACTTCAGTGGACGTCCGAGTGACCGTTTACTTCCTCGAAACTCACAGTATTATCAGTGAACCTAACAGTATGCTCTCTCTCTCTCTATCGGATTTTACTTAGCTGGCTAACCTACAGATATCTTCCTATAGGAAGCCGTTAAAGGCTTGGGCACAAAAAAAAATGGAGTATCTTGCTTTCTTGACGTTAGCTAGAAAATTTGAATGCGCTCTTATCTTGCACTCTTAATCTCTTAGCTAACAAATTGGATTAGTGGGCATTTTTTTATCGATGGGATGGCTCGTATTCGTTTTCGCAGAAACTAGTTGAAAGAGCCAATTATTGGCAAACATAACTGGGACTTTGAAAAGACCAAAAAAGCGCATGCTCAGAAGTTAAGTATGTTAAGTGACGGGGCGGTTAAATAAACCTGAGTAGCAGATATGTGCTTTTTGCACTTCACCACTCAAATTTTTTGCTTTGAAGCGCTTCCGAGTGACCGCTTCGAGCCATCAGATCTTTTCGGTCTCCAATACGTCGAAAACAGTTATGTTCTACCTATCGAACTATTTCCAAGTGTCTTCACCTTTCAAAAAAACAGCAATACGGAAGCGAGTTTTGACTCTTGGCTGCACCGATGTCACTTATTCATCTTATATTAAGGATACCAATGAATTTCCAAAGCAAGTACCCATCTATCCGATCTCACATATGTTGTCGAGGGAAATTCGTCCATTGCGCTGACCAATCTTTCCCCTAGCAGCTATCCATCGGCTTGATTTCCTACCCAGCCACTTGATCACTGATTCAAAAAATATGATCATTTTCTTTATTAAGTGCTTTGCGGTGCAACAAATTTAACCTAAAGGAATCAAACGGTCTAGAAGAGCAAACACAGAGACATGTTTTTACCGTGGTGCATTCTTATATTACTTGCGGAAAGCACATGAAAATGTAAGCGTGAAAAGGAAAGGTGTGTTACGGATAGACATGCCTTCACTGGCGCCTTCGTCTAAGGGATCAAGACCTTGAGTCATCAGCTGGATAATGCCGTTCCGGAAGATCGCGCCGCTGTGCAGGATCGGGATCGACTGGCGACGGAGGGAGCTGGCACGCCGACGGCTGATTGCGACTGAATCGACGCGGCCTGTAATCGGCGCATATTCCTGATCTTCACGGGTCGTCGAATCCCGCCTCGTCGGCTGAAGCGCAGTCACGCCATCAACGTCATATCGAATTGCGCTAATTTTCTGCAACAGAAACTGTTGGTTTTATGTGGGAATCGCCAAGTAATAATTATCTCTCCATTTAATAATAGTTATTTGAAAACTACGATATCCTGAAATTTGTGTTTCCTACCTCACGTTTGATTTTGCGTTTCCCCCTCACTGTTTTGCATTTATAGGATTTTGGATCTAATTTTATTCATGTACGATTGTATAAGATATGAGTAGATTGAATGGTACCCGTTAGAAAGTAAACAAAAACTCAAACATCCTTCGAAGAGGTGCCTCACGTACATTTAATACTGGGGAGGAACTACTGACAGCTGATGCAGCCCAGGATCGAAAGTCCTGGCACAGCTGTGTTTGGAATGTGGGAGCATCACAGTAATATTACTAACACGCACTAACTGCCCTGTATTCGCCAGGGTAAATAATTTAAAATGGTGAAATCAGTCATTTTATACAAAGAACAAATAGATGAAATTTTCGCTTCAAAAGTCAAATTCTGTCCCCGTTTGCTTTCGAATCTCAAGGTTGTCCTTCTTCCTCATTTCTAAGTTTTCCGGAAAGTTGACAAGTTACCTTTAGCGCTGACACATCCTTAGCGACGTCCACTTCGTTTGGCTTACCGCCTAAGTAATATTTTACACAATCTTCGATTGCTTCGTTATATTTCATAAATACGCAGTAGGAAATGTAGATGATGAAGAGGGCCAGCGCTTCGTACCACCGGATCTGAATCAAATGTACCATCAAACTCCAGTGGCTCGATCATTTTGCTATCCATCTCCAGTTTAAAGCTCAACTCGATGTCGGGTTGTAGCTACAAATTCTTGTGTACTGTATGTGTGCTCTCAGATCAATAAAAAAGAGCTTTTGTACCGGCTCCTCTTGAAAGGCAGAGGCACTCGGAAATAGCCGAAAGGTAACAAATGCCAAAAAAAACCACGCACTCTCAAGACTGCTGATGGCTAAAAAAATAAGAATTGGTCAGCGCACCGACTGCTGGTGCGAAGATGCGTTTTTTTTGCGAAGATGTGTTTTTTGTCGCTAACGGCACCGATTTTTCCTACAGATGCTTCTAGTTAAACGAATTGAGACTGGCCGTCAGGTTAGGAAACATCCCCTTAAAATTTCAGTTTTCTAGCTTTGCTGTTTTCCTTGCCAGAAAAGAAGCTTCCCGTGTTCGTAAATGGGAACCACGCATACCCGTTGTCTGCGTTTCACCTCATTAAGACCTGCGTGGGCAGGGGAAACTTCCTTAAAATTTCAGCTTTCTAGCTTTTCTGGTTCCCAACTTAGCAGCTTGCCCGTCAAAAACTTTGGCGAGCCCGTGCGTGGGTACCATGCGGGTAAAAGCGCCCATTTTGAGGATGGGGCCCGTATATGCACGTAAATTAAGTTCCCAAAATTTCAGCCCTGTAGCTCTTGTAGGTTTCAAGATGAAAAATCGATATAGACGAACACACAGACACACACATATAGATAACCCCTCGTCAATACGC